CGGTGGTTCTTAAGCCGAACATCTTCATGCCGTGATCCTTTGAAGGTAGTTAGGTTTCGTGTTGGTGTCGGGTTGCTTTTTAATAAAAAACAGGCAAACTAAGCTGCCATGATCCAAACGGCATCCCTTTGATATAAGATACCTCAAAGGCAGTAACGATTTCGGGCTAAAAGTTCAACGACTCTTAAAAGTCCTGGGTTATTGTGCAACGAAAAATAGGTTATTATAAGTGGAATGAGTAGATGATCGAACCATTTAATAAAAAAGAGAGACCACTTGAATTCTTTAACAGAGGCTTCCGGTATTATCCAACCTTACTTATTGATGGATTGCTCAAACCGAACTTTTGCAGTGATTAACCAGCGGCAATGAGTATTTTTGGAGAACAAGAACAACTGAGTTTGTACCTATCTTTTGAAGATCAACCAAGACCTCGAACTAAGCTATGCTATGCTTGCAGAAGAGAAATCTTTTGCATCCTTCTTTTTCGTGAAAGTCTCGGCGGGTTGTGGTTGGGAGTGGCAGTGGCCGTGGCCCTTAAACATCCGTCCACTTAGATCGACAACTGAAGATCCCCACTGCCCCACGGAATTTACCCATATCTACCAACATATCTTCAAATTTCAACACTACATTCATCAAACACATCAAACATTGACCATTCGAGCCTCACTCGAAAACACTCTCGGTCGTCTAGTTGGTTTATGACGTCAGACTGTAATTGCATATTGTTATCTGGATGTCGCGCGTTCGACTCGCGCCTGAGAGACTCAAATTTTTTGATATTTTTTGGGGGGCTTTTTTTTTTGGATTTGCATTGATCTTGAGTTCGTCGTAATTTTGAGAAAGGCGGGGGGGGGGGGTGGGCCACCGGACATCAAACAAAGCAAACACAAGCCCGGTTTGCACGATTGGTTGAGCGTGGGTCTGCAAGCTCCCGACTACCTACCAGGAACAGTGATGTGAGTGAAGATAGCCACTCTGATGTTGTGCTTGAGGGCCTTGAGGGCTAACTGAGCGTCAAAAGTTTCATTTTCTTCCTACTTCCCCCCTCTTACTTTTATGATTTTCTTCCCCTCTTTGCCCCCTCTCCTCTCCTCCCTCTAAAAACCCAAAAAAATGTCGACAAAGAAGTCAAAAAATATTTCTAATGAAGGGAATTGAGCCCAACGGGGGGGTCGAACCCCCAACCTTGTGATTTCAGAAGAACTCATAGATATTGAATCATAAGAGTCACACGCTCTACCGATTGAGCTAGCCGGGCAGGCTTTCTATTTGTTTGATGGAAGTTCTCCCATTCTTTGAGGACTTATAGCGCTACGAGACGGAGGGAAAGTTCTGCAAAAAAATTATTAATTAGCGGCTGATTAGCAGGTGGAGTTCCCAGTTCCAAACTTACTAAGTGGCATCTTCTAAGAAGGAAAAGGGTGGAGAATTCATACTCTTGGACCACTTTTATATCAAAAAAATAAACAAACAACATAGAAAGAACGGACTCCATGCAAGTTGACCTCTTGTGACATTATTGGCCTTGAACTCCTTGATGTTCTTCCCATTTATCTTGCAGCCAAATCTTGAAACTCCGATGCAAAGCTATGCAATATCGTGCATCCCTTTGATGGATCTTCCATTTTGTTTTACTAGCAACTCTGTTCGTGGCGTATTGACACATCAACATACCGAATTCTCATCATCAGATATTGGTAAATATATGAAAATACTTTATTTCGCAAGTTGAACTTGTACCCCGAGGTGGTGTTTTTGTATGAGGATGGTGGTGGTGAATATGCAAGATTATTTTGGTTATGTCTATGTGGTCAATACCGGGAGTATCTTAGCATGGTAATTTTATTAATGATATAATCCTGAATACGAGGTCAGCATTTCAACAATTCAAGCAATTATCGAATGTACAGCCTTCGTGGCACAATTGGTTAGCGCGTGGGCCTTTTAAGCTAGTACCTAGCATTGAAAGCCCAAGGTTGTGGGTTCGAGACCCACCGAAGGCGTACTACTTTTTTATCATTTTCGTGCTTTTCGAATTGTATCCACTCCACTTTCTCGTTAACACTATTAATAATGAAGTTTAAAAAGAAGCTTTAAATTCTAGATATATAAGCTTTGGATCCGGCTGCTTGACATCCCTTTATAATCCATTTCGCAACTCGTACTGCGTAGTTTGTAAAGCCTTAAAAATTATTGTTTTGATAATCACGTGATATGTTGTTGAAATATTCAAAGTAGATGTTGGGAGTGAATTTCAATTTTTAGATTTTTGGCGAGTTGTATGACATTAATTTTCTTCCTCGATCGATTTGAGCGCATTCCATATCCAAATCAATCGTCCTCCTCCCCCCAGCTTATTAGCTCTTTAATCAAATGGAATCCGAACATCTCAACCAAGTATATTCATCATTCACCTTTCTCCAAAATCGTATTCCACCACTACCACCCATACCAGATACCACACAAGTACGTCAGCAGGAAATAAATCGCTTGAAAATTCAATCCGAAATGAATCCCTCGTCACCCCGAGAGGATTGGAATGTACATGGTCCTCAAATTGCACGGCGAAACCTCGGAAGTAGTGTTGAGCCGGATGCTCCTCGAATGTCTGATGGATGGAAAGAGAGTTCTACTCCTGCTGCTACAATACAAGATTCGGCGACCCAGAGATGGACTTCGCCGTCGCACGATCAGCCGTTCATGTGGAATATGAACTATGGCTCTAAGTATGACATTTCATGATTTCGTAACTGAACGCCTCGGATTTTCGACCGACGGCCCGATGCACGCTACATCTTATATTCATTTCATTGGTTTGTTTGCTATAAAATCTACCCTTGTATATTTAATACTAGTTGAATGTTTCATTTTCCATCGTTTGGAACTTTGAAAATCTAACCCTCGAATGTTGAAATCCCATATTTTGAATCCACGAAGTTTACGTGGATAATATAGAGTGCTAATAGTTCGCAGAGGAAATCAAGTTGACGCCAATACCCACGCATCTGCATATCCCCATCCAGATCTATCACTTCCCCATCCTAGTCTAAATCTCGATTTCCGCATGTCTGTTTCCCTAAACCCTCGAATCTCAGTGGGGCCAACACCATTCGGACATCGAAATTGGATATCATTCACCGGTGGCATGTGGTCTGGATCATGGGGATCAGGAATAGTCTTGGTACACCACCTAACCTCTCCCTTCTACCTCTCCCTTCTACCTCTCCCTTCTACCTCTCCCTTCTACCTCTCCCTTCTACCTCTCCCTTCACTTCTCCCTCACTGACAGCCCATAGCCCGGAGGACAAGACAGCCAACTAATAATTCCCGACGGCTCCGCCCGTCTAGAAACAAACTATTTACTCCAAACCCATGATGATCCTCCCGCACGTATTGCGATAAAAACTCATGGATGGAGAACAGGGCCTTCCGAAGTGTTATCTCAACTAGCTGATCCCATGTTGGCGGATCAAGTTGATCCGAATAGTTACAAGTTTAGGTTGTTTATTGAGATGGAAACGGGGGATGAGCGATACAGTGAGAAGGTAAATTGTGGGATGTGGATTGGTAGTGGGATAAGAAAGGGAGCGGAGGTTATTTATGAGTAAGTGGTCATACATCTAGACAAGAAAATGCTAATGATGCGGTCCAGTGCATATCGAATATCATAGGGCAGGTTTAATAGTGTTGGAGCTTTCGAGTTTATGGAAGAAAGTATGGATTTTTCAGGGGATGAAATAGGAAATATTGTGCTTTGAATACTCAGCTGAGACTTTTAATTTTTTTTGGACATTATGCCAGTAAATAGCTTGCAATGAAACGATATGACACAAGCATATTCCAGAGCCACCATTGAGTCTATCCGGATCTTACCGAACAAGTGAGCCCTTCAGCCTATGTACTCGAAATTTGAATCAAGTTTTCAATGCCCCGATACCGCCCATGAGAAAAATGTGAACATCATGTATGTACTTCAGAGTATTTGTTCATTATTATGTTCATTATGCTTTCCTTTAGTGATCGATCTTCAAGGAGAAATCGACATGAGGTACACCTTGGTGTATCGAACTCGTGGAGATAATATCGATATCTATATGTAGACATTAGTAAGAACTCACGAAACAATAGCTTTTCTAACTTGCCGTTATTGATATATGTTTCAACATTCGCAGAAGTAAGTCCGCCACTACACTCCAGTAAAAACTCCTTCTTTCCGGCCCATCTTTGCCTCAGACTCTTCGCAGCAACTTTCAGCCCGTCCCCTGAAAAATTATCTAACATAATTATATCCGCTCCAGCCCCAATAGCCTCATCGGCAGCCTCCTCACTGTCAACCTCCACCTCAATCTTCAACGCGAACCCACCAGCCGCCTTCGCAGCTTTAACCGCATCAGTAATACTACCCCTAGCCCAAATATGATTATCCTTCAACATAGTCATACTCGACAGATCATGTCTATGACCATCCACACCCCCAACAATCATCCCGTATTTCTCCACCAACCTAAACCCCGGTGTAGTTTTTCTCGTTCCAGCGAGAATCCCCTTATACCCCGCCTTCCTAACCAAAAGCTCCATATCCCTCGATTTAGTCGCAATCCCCGAACATCGACTTAGTGTATTAAGCGCGACTCTCTCCCCCAATAATAGCTTTCGTACGGGTCCGGTAACAGTAGCTACAGCTACTTTCCCTGATGCGCCTGGGTCGACTAATGTTCCCTCCTTCATATGCCATTCCACCGAACATCCGGCTTGTGCAAATACCTCGTCAAAAAAAGGTACACCTGCCAATATTCCTCGCGACTTTCCATATAAAGTAGCAGTTCGTTCGCTATCGCCGACGACAAATCCACCGTAATCGAAGGAGGGGGTGTCTTCCGCAAACCAGGCGGTGATTTGAGATTTCCAGTGGATAGGGAGGAGGTCGGCGGGGTTTCCGTGTTCGAGGGCCATGATATACTTGATTTCTATTGCGCTAATAGGAGGGAAGAAAAGGAAGAGGCAGATGAGTTTGTTGCTTCAGATGTTGTTGAAAATAGTTTGGGGGTTTGGAGGTTCGGAGATTCAGAGGGGTCGGTCGGCGGGGATGAGCTTCAGGGTATGGACGACAGGGGTTGCTCGGGTCTATTCTGACACTAATAAATCCGCAGCACGGATAAATCTTATTAATAAGCCTGTCCACGGGTGAGCTACCGACGACCTATCGACGACCGTAATATCCCAGCTTCAAAATACGGTACGGAGAGAGTACTCCTCTTCTTCATTATTGCTACCATTGTAATAAACTTACCCATCACCATCACATAACGGGAGGTCACATAAATTTTTGATCAACTTCAGTCCAACCTGCTACGGCATACTGTTGTATACAATAAGCATGATTTATGCGAAACCTGTCAAGCTTTCCAAATGCCCATGGGGGAGGGAGGGAGTAGCTTCCAGGTTATCATATACTTCCCAAACGATCATCAGTACAGCAGCGACGTTACGAGCACGTGATATGATTAGACCATATATGGGGCAGCATAAATGGATTGGTTGTTGAGACTTACACTATTGCTTGAGGGGGGCAGGAAAGCAAAGATTAGAAAAGGAAGTTATATATTCAAGATGATACCATATTATAGGAAGGTCGAAGCAGGTGACTAACAACGCTTAGCTTAGCTGGATGACGCCTGTTACATTTCCCTGAAGGAACAACAAGCTTAGCAGGTTCATCAAGCTCTGCGTTTCTCGTTGTCAATACAAATTTAGACAATAGGGGGGCCACATGCACCGGCTCGCTGCAATGGGATGTGTTATGGGATTCGATCCATTTTGAGAAGTGTAGAGTTTATTTCACAAAAGTCACAACTACAGTAAGCATATCACGAAGCATATCACCGATAATATTCTAGGGTCATTTTCACAAAAGTCACAATTAAAGTAGTAAGTATTACAATCATATATTTTCTTGGGGTTAACATCGTTACATAGACTATAGTAAAAAAAACATAAATTCTATTTTAATTTTAAAGAACAAACCAAAACTCCGATTTGCGAATCCGTGTGTTCGACCCTGGGGACCTCGGGAAGCCCTGCTTCCCCTTCCTTGGGTCTTGACACTCGGTTCTTCAATGTTTCAAAATTCCACCGAATTCATTTCACCAGACTCCTCGAAGTCTCTTCTCGATTGCACTTCCCTTCTCAACATTTCGATTGGTGCTCCCATCACCACCAAAGCCAAAGTCCACTTCCTGAACCTCAAGCCCCTGCAAAGCTGCCACCAACTTCATTTGAACATTGTGCTTGTCAACCAACACTTTCGCTTGAAAGTGTGTGATCTTGTGGAATTTGTTCAACCGAGTGGATGATGCTCTTGATATTTTTGATGTGTTCGGCGTGTTCCTTGCGAGTGTCCATGACTGGAGGCACATCACGAATTGAAAAACAGACGAATGTTGTGAGGTTGGCATACTCTGGGAGTATTGCCAATAAGTTGGGTGATGTCTGTGGGTTGCTGGCCAACCTTGGGTGAGAAATCGAGTTCGATGGTCAAGGTGTGACTGGAGAACTTGATTGCTGGATGGGTGGGATCGTTTTTCGGTCTTTCTGGATCTCCTCCTTCTTCGGAGCATGTGCTTGGTTGAAAATAGAAGACATCTTGTCTTGTGTTTGAAAAGAGATTGGTGGTTGAAAGTCCTGCTGATTGTATTTTTCTGGTTGGGAATGCAAATTAGTGTTTGTGGATGAGCAATACAAATCACGATGATGATGATGATGGTAATAGTATAAATATACTGCTAGACCACCCTGTATAATGGAAAGATATTATTCGAATGATGTTCCTATTTTGTTCGTTAGATTTTTTCACAATGTGGTGATTGAGCAATGCATTGCTTAGGTGAATCGCTACAGTTGCTTTTTACCCCTTTGCTCTCACGAGTCAACCTTTATCTAACTTCTTGTCTTTGTTTTCAGGTAGAATACATAATATGAATTGAAATTATATTGCTACTTCTAG